TGATCCAGGCTGTTTTGTAGTCGGAGGTTGGAGGGTGCTACGGTCTGAATGTGTCCCTGAAAATCCGTATGTTGAGACTTAATCTCTAATGTGATGGTATTAAGAGGTGGAGCCCTCACAATGAGAGCAGGACTCTCATAAAAGTGCTTGAGGACTTCGGTTCACTCTCTGCTTTCCGCCACATGAGGACACAGCAACAACGCAACATCTTGGAAGGAGAGAGCAGCCTTCACCAGACACTGAATGCTGGGGCCTTCATCTTGGATTTCTATACTTCAGAACCGTGAGAAATGCATTTCTGTTGTTTGTAAATTACCCACTCTGTGGTATTTTGTCATAGCAAGAGGAACAAACTAAGACAGAGAGTTACGATTACTTTTGCTTGGCATCCCATACTCCCTCCTCTTGCCCGTTGAAAGAAACCCTCCAGATGTGGCCAGCTGTGCTCTCAGTGAGCTGTTTAGGTAGCCAAGAGAAACATTTGCTTTAGAGGGAAGGACAGTTCATCTTTGCGGTAAATTCTGACCCAAGACATTCAAGACCCAACACACCTAGTGCTCCAGGCAGGGTTACTGCTGAGGTTTCCAGCCACTCACCCCAAGGCCCTGCATCTCAGTCTCACACCCAGGGTGCTGCAGGTCACCAGGACCCACGTTACCACCAGCATCTTTTGTCAATTGTGTCTGCAGCTGGGTCACCTGGAATGGAACAAAAGGAGGCCCTGCATTCTTCCTCCTCCCAGGTCCTCGCATTCTAAAATTGTCCTGATATTTACTTAGGGAAAACTAATGGGAATTTTTAAATTAAGTATGTGAATTTTATGGTATTAATTGTTGCATTTAAATAATTCTATTTTGTAACAAAGAAAACATTCAGTTGCTGAAAGGCCCTAGCTCTTTTTATTTGTGATTAATTAAAGGTTTTCTCTCTGATCCTCTGTTCCTTTCTCCCCTTCCCGTCCTTTTAATCCTCCGGCTTCTTTTGGTCACCCGCAGGGACAGCCATGGGGACTGTTCAAACCATTAATGGGAGAGTTGAGATCAGGCAGTTTGAAAGTTCTGAACACCATCCTTTCAGGGAATTGTCATTTCGTGCAGAGGAGAGATTCGCTTTCTCCCTGGAGCCTCACAGGAGCCACGGTTGAGTGGTTTGTCTCTTAAATGTGTTTGAGCCCAGGAGCTGCTACTTCCTAGAGGCCTTGTAGCAAACACACTGGGCTCCCCCACTCACGCCTCGTGCCCTCACCCTGATTTAAGGTGCAGCTGGGATGGGCCAGTTCTTCTGGGCCTCAACTCATTGTCTGTGGACAGCATCTTCCTCTGTGGCTGGAAGTCAGGGGCGGGGGGGGGATGACCCGAGGGTAACCCCTGGTGGATGGGAGAGGAGGATCCACGGATAAACGCTCCACCTGCCATCCTTGGGAGGGACACCACACTCCTCTTGGGAAATCTCAGGGACAGAGACTTCCTGTAGGGCAGGGCTCCCTCCATCGTGTCCCCACAGCGGCCCGCCCTGCCTCCCTACTCACTCTCACCACTCACGCCTTGCTCCTTGCCTCAGCCTCTGCTTTTAAGAGAAACCAAACCAAGACAGAATTGCCAGAGGAGAGAACAAGGCTGATAGAGTCCTGGCCGTCACTTTGTTAAGGAGGGTGACTCAGAGACAGACTCACATTCAAATCCCAGCCTTGCCACTTATGATCTGTAGATGCAGGGACAAATTAACTTCTCTGCACTGGGTTGCAATTAGAAAACATCAAATGCTCATAAAATGCTCAGCAAAGGGAATCACTTGCTCACTGGGATTCATAAGAATGCTCCCTGCATAGGGGACAGAACTTTTAGCCTTTGAGCGCTAAAGGGACAGAAACTCCAACCTTAAGTCCAGGGCACACAAGACAGTCCAGCCCTGCACAGCTCCTTCCAGTTACTGAATCTGCCTCGACACAGTGTCCCTGGCCTGCAAAGAGGAAGCGCGAGGGCACACTTGTGGCCTGTGGCCTTCATTCTGAACCCTAGGTCGTGACCACTCCTTTCTTCCATTTCCATCCTATTCCCAATCTTTC